CTATGTCTTGTACCAGCTAAGGTCACGTCACTAGTTTCTGAAACACTTAATAAAGCCTGTGCTGGTTATCTCTGGCAGACAGGGCCTCCAGAGCAGTGGGTGGTAAAGCCCCGGTGTGCTAAGAGCCGAGCTCAGGACACGCACCACGTCAGCACCAGCTCCAAGGTGCTCCACAGGGCCAAGCAGCTCCGTTTTCCTGGGAGGTAAGAAAACCGTCAGGAACACCCAGAAGGTTGGGTGCTTCAGGTCACCCAGGCAGAGGAAACGCTGGGAACAGAGAGGTCCAGCCCGACAGGTCCGAAACACGGCGCGCTGCAAGCTGTCGGGGGGAGCTCCCACCCCGGGCTCTGCGCACCCACTCCCTTCCCGCCCAGACGTCACCCCTGCAATTAAAACGATTCCCGCTCGCTTTCGTCACGTGACTAATGCCACGGAAAGCACGGCCTCTTACAAACACATTTTGAACAAAAGAACGTAGCTATCTTTAATAGAGGGTTATACAACAAACACTAATTAGCCAAGAACGTACGGTAAACATATTTACCTTTTATAGCAGAACAACTCACAAAGAGCTCACAGCAATTCTCCAAGATAAAAACGCTACTCAGGGCTGTGGAAAGGACAGGCTTCTGATGAAAAATCTTGTTCTGCTTTCTAACAGAAATTCAAACTGGTATCAGGATTTCCAGTGAAATGGCGAAGCTGGGGCTTGCTGTGGCGCACAGGGATTTGGAACTCCGTTTCCACTCGAAGTCAACGAGATGCCCGCCACCGAACTCGGCGGGAGTGAGACTGGATGACCTGGCACTGTCTTTGGGTATTCCTGGCTGCACGTTAGGAGCTTGGACTTCTGGTGTGGGGTTGGGTTTTAAGTGTAAGAATATGTCCTGCTCCCTTGGACAAATACAATTTGCAACTCGCTTTATAGATGTGATAGAGCTTTTGCAGCCTTTACAATCTGTCATATAAATCCATACTCAAGTGTCAACGTGTGAAGGGGCTACTTCAGAGGTCCTCTGGGTGAAAACACGAATGCAATTTCTAGAGGAAATGCTCTCAAAAATGAATAATCTGTCTATTTAGCCAGTTACTTTAGAAATAAGATACTGATGGTAAGAGTCACTAGACTGAATTCAACAGGGTTTATTTTTTTTTCTTTCTACCTCTAACTCACAACTACTAGAGCCGGGAGTTTTGGTAGGAGAACTTGCTGAAAATAAACCACTGAAATTGAGCCTCAGATCCAGGTAAGACAACAGCAGCCTCTTTGTACCGCCAAAGCTTGTTAACTTTAACGGCAATTTGGGGTATGCACGGAAAGCAGCTTCAAGTAGCTATAGGAAGAGGGACTAGTAATACTATTTCTGAGATAATTTCCGTGATGATCATCATTACGCTGTTGTTGATCAAAATTCTTTTATGTGTTTCTCCTTGTCCTTGCCTGTCACCCTCGGAAATGCCAGCCTTCTGTCTTGTAGGGTGTTTCATTCAAAAAGCCAGCTGGAAAGGTGAGTAAGAGCAGTGCAGAAGGTGAGCGTTACTGATTGAGAAACCGTCTTTGACAGTGGCTGTTAACCCTCTTCTGCTTCGTCACACCAGTTGTGCCCTGCTCCTTTTCTTCTTTTTAGATGAGAGAATTTATGTAGCCTGCAAAAAATTACTGGAAAGAGGGTGTTCTCCTCCCTTTAATGCCTAATCTGGCACCCTTTACTTATGCAAATTTAATCAATGGACAAATGCTCCTCTCTCAGCAGCTGCACTAATACAAACAACATCAAAGACCTTGTCAAAGCTGCTCCGAAACAACCCCGGGATGACTGACACGCAAGACTCGGCCTCAGACTTCACACCACCAGCCGTGTGCCCAGGTGAGCCAGACTTCCAGACCACCGGGGTCCTCTCCCCCCGAACCAGAGCCAGCCCCGGGGCTCGGGCAGCGCCCGGCCGAGCCAGCCCCGTGGGCTGAGCACCGCCAGCCCTCACACATTACAATGAGAAATGTATCACGCTGCCTGCTGTCAGGTGTAATTTGTGTCATACCAGAGGGGTGACTGGAGAGCAGGTATAGGCAGGAACTGGTCATACCCATACTTGCTCCTGCCGGGCCTGATCTGGCAAGCTGCTGGGAGCGCTTCCCTCCCTTGGAAGCCAACGTGAATGGGGTTTGCTCAGGACCTAACAGGATCGGGCCTCCTCAGAACACTACAGAAGGATAAACACAGTTTGATGATTTAGCTTTTAACGTTTTCCGTCAGCGTGTGATGTCTCTGTGTATGCACACCCTGACTGTATTTATAGACATGCTCCAAAGCTGTATGTGCCCTTAAACATACACGTACAGTGTACACGCTGAAAGCGTACTTGGGATCTCGGAGCGCAGAGAAAGAAATAGAGGTCGTAGCTCAAGTACCAGGAAGTTTATTCCCACAGCTTTCAATTTTAGTGAGCGCAAACTGTATTTTATGTGACTGGAGCTAAGATTTAGCAAAGCATTTCAGCATATGCTTGCATCTTTTGCTGAACACACCCTACAAATCTGTTTGATTTCTCAGGTTTCAAGCTTTCAAGCTCATGCTGAAACCAAGAGTTAAATGGGCTGTCCAGAATAACCCAGAAAGCTCTGCATGCGGATGAGTGTGGCCATGCCTCTGTACGCGGCCATGCACGCTACCTCTGAGCAGAAGCTGACAGGGCTCTGGCATTACTTCCAGAATTCTCACTCCAAAAAGCTGTCTCCTTCCTCCTGCACCTCTGCGAGACCCGGGACTCCTCTCCCAGCCAGACCACTGCGAAGACAAGTCTGTGCCTTACGGGAGACGCACACCGGGACAGCGAGGCACCGTCAGGAGCTCCGACCAGACCCACGGCAAGCACTCCGCCTTAACCGGGACAGAGAGCAGGCCGGACTCAACAGGCGGTGAACAACCAGGTCTACTATGCGGCACTGTAGAAAACCAAATTAAAAAAAAATTAAAAAATAAACAAATATTAAGGTGTACCCTCCATCCAGCTTCATCATGTACAGAATGTATGTCCTGCTTGGGATGCTGGCAAAGGGTTATCTTTTGCTGTAAAAATATACATGGTTACTACCTAATCTTTGCGGTTTGCAGGTCTCGTCCTGTAAGCTGTTACTGCAGCGAGAACTGAAGTTCCACCAGCTGAAAAAGCATTCAAGCCTTCTGAGATCACACGGCGATACAAACGTAAGGCAACACACACCGAAACATCAGGCAGCACGTGAGCTCTGGTCACAGCTCTGTACTTAGAGTTTAAACAAAGCACAAAACCTGAAGAAATGCACTTCTGTTCTTTAGCAAACAGAAGAAAACAGAGCTTAGAGGGGTACTCTGTTCTCTTTAAATAAAATCTGTGAATTTACGTATATTCTCCCAAAGCTTCCATCACCGAGGTTTTTATTAAGCAAGTCTGATATGGGGCATATTTTAAAAATAATGTCAGCAGTGATATTTTAAAATGTGGAAGCAGATGTGCTACTTCATTACAACTGCTGAATCTTCTCTCTATTTTTTTATACTGTGGAGCATTTGTCTGCTGCTCTGTTATAAATCTCTCCCCACTGAACAGATTTCCTTTCTACGATTAAAGAAGTACCACACAGACATCATTAAACAGACACTGTCCAGAAAAATCACATTGTTTTGGCCTAACCATAAAATATAGGTATTTTAATAATTTTTTTCTTTTCCATAGAGGATTTCAGCAGCTCCCTCTCCTTGGAATGAAATCACAGCCATATGCTTTATGACATCAGAGGCATTTCAAGGTGTCTCCATAAATGTCATTTACTGCTTGGGAACCTGCCAAATCTGTGCAAAAATCCCTAGTTCTTTTAAATGAAAAATCTTCAAATGAAACTAGAGCTTTATGCTGGTTATCATACCGAAAAAAAAAAAAAAAATCGATCCCTTTATGGAAATCCTGGCTGTGCAGGCGGCAAACACTGGGCACAAAACCTGCTGACCTGGGCTCCGGTTTGCTGCTGAGGCAATGAAAGTCTGCCGGGCACCCTGACCCTGCGCACCCACACCTTCTCCTGGCTGCACTCGGGGCACTTGCTCTGCTGAAAAATAAGCAGTCTGAACCACGAAACCTGATCTGATCTACTGATCACAGCTGTAGATCAAAATCAGGTGTATCCTGAAGGAGTGCTTCAACAAATATGATTTAACCCTTAGAAGAGTGGTCCCTCCCACGTTACCGTCCCAGGCCTGACGCTGCCCGGGATCCCCCAGCCTTCACGGTGCCCAGCGCCCCGCGGGACTGGGAGCTGGGCTAATCATCATCAGACGCTATGTCATACACAGCGATGTACCCTCACGCCACAGCTACTCAGAATTTGACGCATCCGTAGTCCACTCTGTGATAACACTGGCCAGATCTGAACAGCTCCTGTCAGACATGCCACCAACGTGCCCAGCGCCGATCAGCGACCGTGAAGCACGCAAGGATTAACCCAACCTGCAGCCGGAAGCCGACAGAGCAGGCCGGCCAGCCACTGCCCAGGGCATGGCCGCTGCCACGGAGGCACGCAGCTCCCGCGGAGGAGGCACGCAGCTCCCATGGGGGTTAGGATCTGGGCTGGCCCACGCAAGCATCCGTTGGTCCCAGTGCAACAGAGCTGCTCCGCTTTCTTAAAGGAAGGAAAAAAAGGATTTTTTCCCCTGAATCTGAAGGCAAGAAGTTGCTTGGTAATAATCTAGGGCAGCACACCAACAGGTGCTTCAAACGTATCGGCAGAGTGCAGAAGACGTTGAGAGAGAAAATGAACAGGCTCTCTAAATAATACATAAATTTTGCAGGCTTTTTTTTCTGTAGAACCCCAGTGAAGCTACTGTGTAAATCGGAACCTGAATTATTCATTACTGGTGAATACATAACAAATGGTATTTCGCACTGAAACGTTCCTCACAGGTACACGCGTCTTCCTGTGCGACAAACAGAGACGGGCAGCGAGCCCGACAACGGCGAGGTCTTACCGGGAGTCCGGGTACTTTGTCAGGGTAGCCAGGCTGCTGGTGTACATGTGTCCTCCTACATCGATGTGCACGGGAGCGTTCGACTTGGTGAGCTGAGCCGGGAGGGGGATGCCTTGCGCAGCCAGAGGAGAAACCGGGGACCGTGTCAGAGACAGACGGGACATGCTTCTTCCCTCCTGCGAAGGGGAGGCAAAACAGAACAGTTTCTCTTAAACGCAGCCGTGTGTTACCTTTCTTTCCAGCGTGATCACAGATCTAATCAGATCATTTTTGCATCTGCCTGATCACATATTCAGCTAACAAATTATTGCCACCACTGTAATTAAGTGTATTTGCATCATTTTCTTCAGAGTACCAGAGGGGAAGAGAAAGATGCTTATTAGCAATAAGAAGTCAAGAAAAAAATTTTTCAAGGTGTCAGCCTCAAGGGGCATAAAACAAACTGCAAAATTCTAATTAAAGGTCGCGGACTTATGTGTTAGATGTGAAATATCCCCTGACAAACGAATAACCAATTTGTGAACTGGGATTCAGGGGTTTTTGCAAGTTTCTTGCAGTAACGAGACACCTCTAAATTAGTGACTTCCTCAGTACCTGAGGCATTTAGTTTATACATGTAGTAAATTTCACATCAAACTAAGATCAATTTCCTGGTTTATTTTCAATAATTGTGAAATAAATGGATAATTTTCAGTTAAGCCTTAATATTAGACATAAAGAACTAATAAGCCTTCAAACTGAAGGCAATTAATGCCTGGAAGCAGCAAAAACGGGCAGGAACATAAACTGACCCATGCTTTCATGACAAGATGCGTTAGAAATTACTGTACAGTCTGGCATGTGAAATCGCAAACTCAACAATCCACCTAATGTTTACTGCCCCGAAAAGATTGGAAAATTAGTGAAACTTCTGAACTGAGTCCAAAAAATCTTCAGCTGACATACAAAGCAAAAAAATACTGAAATGTCTTAAAAATGAACAGGACAACCACAGCAAAAGAAAATTCCTCGATTCTCTTCTGCAGGAAAAGCACAGCTTGTTCTGCATGAAACGTGTATCTCAAAGCTGATTTCAGTTAAATCGGTATAGACAGCATACACGTCAAAGGGAAAAAAACCGTTTTATAAAAGTTTAAGAAAACGTCCATCCATTCTCCCCCTTATGGCTAAAGCAACATATGCAAAACATTACAGTTGAAGACATTTCTGAATATAATCTAATTTTCTTGGTATTTTGTTCTGCAAGCATGCTACCAAGCATCCAGGCTCCCTCTTACATCTGACAAGCGCTGTACATGCAGCATTGCAAAGTGAATTCCCATTTCTCCCACATTACTTTGACAATGTTTCTCAGAAATCTAAGGCTGGTCTCGCCTTTCTCCTAGCAGCAAGTACGTTGCACAAGACGCCTGGCTACACCACTCGACAAACATACAATTAGCAACACTCCTCGCAAGAAAATAAACACAAAAATCGTGAGCTGTATAGAAAGGGATTGAAAAATCTTAACGCATCTGGACAGCTTCACAAAGTCATCGCAACGTCTCCATTTGCTGTGTTTCATCTCGGTTGGCTCCCAAGAATTCCCTGCATCTACAGCACAGAAATACATCACCCCATTCCGAATCCACATCCTTCTCTCTTCGGAGGCTGGGCGGGCACCCGCACTGCACACGACGCAGACGCCAGCTCTGTCCTAGGACCGGGTGCCAGCCGGTGCCACCTTGGGCGCTGACATCGTGACTAGAGCACCACCTTCGCGGAGAGGGAGCGAATCCCTTCGCGACTGCAGACGCCGCTTCCCTGTTTCCCACAAGAGCCTGTTGCGGGCAATCTTCGGTAAACATGGCATATAGCATAAACAAAAGCACTAACTTCTAAAAACAGCTTTGTATGCAAACACCTACAGATTCCAGCGAGGCGTTTACTGAGCTGTGGGCGCCTCATCTGTCTGCCAACACAGACAAAAGGGGTTTTCTCTTACCAAAGAGCACCGCAAACTCATCTTCACTCTCTGCTCCTTCACTTCCACGCAAGGGTCAGAAGATCCAGGCTGAATGTCAACCCTGTCTTTGTTCAGACCCCAACTGTTACCACTAAAGGTACAGACCTCGCACGGTACAGAGCTGCCTCAGAAATGAATCGCGTGCGGTTTCACAAAACAAGTACCTAATTAGCACTCATCTGCACCCCTTGTTACAATTTCCAAATGAAATCAAAGGACTTCCAGTCCTCTGTAAACGCGTCTTACATTTAACCATGTCTTGAAACACCGACTTCAGTTCTAAAATATGCACAGATAGCTAAAGATCAAGTGATCTGAATCTATTTGTGCATATTTAAACACTGCTGCTATCTTAGGATTTTGTTTAATGTTAGTATACCAGCAAATTCCTTGATCTGTAAAGAGTCTGAGATTCTCAGTGAGGCCATACTCACACAGCAGATATTTAATTTATACTATTCACTGGAGGGACCTTTTGAACAATCCTCTGCTTTTGGCATCTCTCAGCTAGAGCATGTGTTGAAAAAACACTTAATTATAGAAAATCATTGGGAAGCTAAAATAGTTCTCAAACTTTTATGGCTTTTCATACTTACTGAGGGTGTCATTGGCTTTTTGGGGGAGGGGAGGAGAAGGGGGACTAAAACACGGGCTTTTCCCCTGCTTGGAGAGGATCTGTATAAAAAAATGAATCCGACATTTTTATTAAAGTTGTGGAATTCAATCATTTTCATATCAGCAAATTATCAAGTGGCATACTGCTAAGCGCTACATGAAGGGCACTGAAAGCATTCCTATTGCTCAAAAAAAAAACCAAAAAACCAACCCCTATTTCTTAAGGTACCGTAGACCTGTTTCTAAAGACTCTTTCCTCCTCTTAATGTAAAACGCAGCTAAAATTCACCACACTAACGGACTTATTTTATGCACAAAGCAAAATCCTAAATGTATTTATCCAGTGAAAGTCTTTATACACTTATTTTCCAATACTGACGTGAAAATTAAAACCTCAGGGGTGAACATGGCAGAAACACTGACAAACTTCATTTATTAAACCGTGCAAAATAATCCTTGCTCGTTAGTTGCCTACAACAGGCGACAGCATCCCAACCAGTGGCACAGGCAATAACCCTGCTCCGAGAAGTAAGGCGGGAACCTGCTGAAGGTAAAATCAATAGAGCCCAAATTCTCTGAATATTTAGTTTTTCAAACCAAGATCTTTCAGAGCCAGCTTATCTTTTTCTGCCTTTCTAAGCTAACTGCATAAGTACCGCTTGTAAAAACTATCTGCCCATGCAAAGTGAAATAATCACAACGCCATGCTCATTTACACACAAAATGATTTTGTGTCCCATTGTGCTCACAGTTGTTCAGCTCTCTAGGGGTGATTAAACCAGCTATGCTGCTACAGCTTGAGATGATTTCACTGAATCGTTTCTCCATGAAGTTGCTTCTTTGCTAAGCTGTTATTTTAACCATAAAAGGTAAACAGAAGGCAGTTGTAAGAGCTCCATTCAGCTCCGTGCCCAGGGCTATAACCCTAGGGCAGAGAATGCTGAAAGACTGCAGAATTTTCCAGGGTGTTGCCTTTCTTGCTCGAAAGCCTTCAGGAATACTGTTCATTTAATAGACACTCTAGACGATACATTTCAGATCCTGCTAAAAGAAAAGACTTCAAAAGTGGAAGAACTTCGGGGCGGGCGA